AAGAACTCGAAAACATCCACCTCCACACCCCACACCCACGCCCCCACCCAAACCCACACCCACAACCACACCCACCCACACCCACACACCCACACCCACACCCTACACCCACACACCCACACCCTGTTCATTTTCTATTCCAAAATGTTTTCAACTTTACCACACAATAAGTAATACTGAATCCAAACTATTGTCCATTTCAGAGATAAATGGTTATAACGATTCTTTGAATGACTTTTAATCGACAAGGTTATCGGACTCGGGGTTGTGTAGTCGAATAGAATGCACTCCGAAACGTCTTTCTATGCGATTCCTTTCAGTTCATAGATAATTGTTTACGGCTGTTGATACTTTGTGTTATGACCACTATGGTCACTTATTCTGTCGTGTTACCTTTCTTATATTTTTGCTTTTTTTCTTCTTCTTTGGGTGTGGGTGTGGGTGTGTGTAAGTGTGAGTCATCTCTTTAATTTATTCCACAACCACACCCATGTCCTCGAGATCAATTTGCACAAGGCAATTAAACGCTGCATATGTTTCAGAAAATTTATTTTCACGAGATTCAACTGTTGCTATATTATATATATTTAATGTATGAACACGTCAACCATATTTTAATGATTGAAAATCACCTTTTGAACGTATATGTTTTTCTCTACATGCACCTTTTCAATAACTATTTTCTGGAGATGATTGAAAGCGTATACAACGTGAACCTGGCATACGAATAAAACCTGATGGACATGATAAAACACATTCCTTTATTTCTTCTAGTATATACCCAGTACCCATAGACAATGATGCACATTTTTTATGTGTGATACGAAAAAAATTTCTTTTCATGTTTTTATTAATTCATTTACTGATCAAATACTTCGATAACACAAATATCTTGTCGTCTAGCTGACATTCGAGTCTATTCTATTGTTATACATAATGAACCATGTTGTGCAGCTGTTTAAAAAATAATAGTAACAAAAAATTCCTATAAAACAAAAGAATGAAATGACTTACTAATAAGAAAACCCCCGTTAGTATTAGAAAAGTCCCGATTGGTCATAAAACTATCAGAAACATAGATTGAAACTAAAACAGCATGACGAGAACATGGATCACGAGTATACATACTGTTGACAAAATATACATAAAGACGATTTCATTTATTTTGTTATAACTCTTTTTAGTTGTTTTTCTTTAGAAATAATGACAAATATGATAAACAAAAAAAACACAATAGATAATCGAAACTTTGTTTTTACATATTTTAGAAAATTTCAAGAAAACAAAAATACACACATAATTGAATTTATATGAAAACAAAGAAGTATACGCACAAAAGACAACATTTTTAACAACAAGAAATATTTTTTTCACGTTTTCACATTTTCTATGATTTGTGACAGTTGTTGCTTTTCCTGATGTCAATATTCTTTTTCTTGAATCAACTGTAATAAGTGGAACAATAACAACGAGTTGCTTCTATTACCCAGGTCGACCATTCCGATCGTCTGAAACGGCATCGGAAGCGGCCTCAAACGGCTATAAAACAGCGTAATGAGGCATTCATTTTCGCCGTAATCCGTCACCTCGCTTTACGAGCCGTTTTTTGCTGGAAAACAGCCACCAGTTTGCTCACTATTTTTCCGTTTTCCTACGTTTTATGTCGTTTTTACGCCATTTACGGGCCGTTCTCTTGAACCTGGGTAATATTCTAAAACTGAAATTCGAATAAATTAATGCCTAGCAAGAAAATCAAACAAAGTACTACATTATTTCTATCGTGAGACCTGTTTGACTTACTCGTTTTCTCCACAATCATTATACTCTATTTTTAATGGCCATTATTTTCCCTAGACTGAAAGGCTAGGGTCTAGAAAGTTTCGATTGGGCGTTTATAGCAACTAAGTTTTGCAGAATGACAGGTTTTTACAAGAAGAAAACACTTTTATTAGAAATAAAGCAATTTTATTTACAAAAAAATGATCTTTTATTAAAAAGACAATGAGTTTTTAGGTGCTAAACGTTTAAAAATTCATAGAATTTTCGAAAAAAAGATCTTGGAAAATCTGTGGTCTTATATTATGTCTAATAAAAATTTTCTTGTTAATAGTCTTCTAATATAAGATGATCTTCTATTCTTCAGGATGGTTGATTAAAGTCAACTATTTTTCATTGAGTCGATTAAAGGCAGATCTTTAGGTTGGAAGGCAACTTTCATTTCATGTCCTTAATTAAATTTCTTGAATAAGACAATCATATGAAATAGAAACTTCTTGAATTATGCACTAGAAAAAGAAATTTGACTATAGTTCCAATCAGTGTCAATCTATTGATAAAGTTTAATAAATTAAATATGTTTTTAAAAATTAACATAAATTGATAAAAATGGATTTAACATCAAATAATTTGATTAAAATTGAATGAAAATAGTAGCATTTTGATCAATTTTTAATGAGGAAAAATCGAATAGATTTATTTTTTTGTTATAAATACAGAGCAAATTTTTTTCCCTACTCTACAACAGTTTCTGGATGTGGGTGTGCCTGCAGCTAAAGAGACGACCCACACCCACATCCACACGCTACATGAACTGTTGCTTATGAACAGGATGCTGAATCTGCCAGAATCAGAATATAAAGCAAAATAATTTTTCCTAACGTATGTCTATCTTGTTTTAATTAATCATTGAAGATAGACAAGGTAAGTTTTTGAAGTTAAAAAGTCGGAATAAAGTATCCAATCTTGATTGCTGAGATATAGTCTTCATTTTGTGAATACGAGGCGTGTGTAAAGTGTGTGGGTGTGGCACATGTGAGGTTATTAATTTTGTACTTTACTCTCCCTTCACTGACTGCGACTCTCTGTAGTCTAGGGCGCTTTGGATCGACCTTGTATCAAGATACTGTAGCTATCTGAACATTTTTCTGTTAGGGTCTGGATTTTCAGTTAGTCTTCATTGGATCCTTCAAATGTAATCTATTTAGTTTGTGAAGATTGATTATATTTACAAAATGTCAGACTTGAAGATGTAAAAGCTACACAAAGCTATTCAAAAAAAAAAGAGATCGGCGATTAGAGAATGAGAAGTTGTTGTCAATCCACTTCCGAATTATTTTCAAAGTTATTTAAACAAGATTTCTTACAAAGATTAACCTAATCCACTAATGGTTCGATCATTTGGATATTCAATAGATGTTGAAGCCACTTGTATCAAATATTTTGAATTTTTTAGCATAAAGAAGCAATATATCTATAGACACTGCCTTTCTAAATATGTCTTTTGATGAAAATCGACAGGTCAAATGAGTAGTCGCAAAAAGTTATTTCACTTCCTTATTATCTTTGATTTGATAGCATATTATGTTTCCTTACTGTGTCATTGCCAGCATAGAATGATGAATACAAAGCAAGCACATTTGTGAGTGATCAGATTGAAGAGTTTAGGTCAGCAAATTTTCTATCTCATATTTATCCGAATTACGTAGGATAGATGATATGAAAGATCAGAAAGATTTTGAACTGATCTTCAATTCTAAATTCTTTTAAGTAACTATATTTCGATCTTGAACATAAACTTTCAGTTTAGGTAGAAAATTTCTTAGAAATCATAGAATTTGTATTGTTTCACATGGATGTTATGTATGTGAATGATATAATTAACATTCAATAAAAGATATCGCAACAGAAATGTCAGAATTATTATAGGTCGAATTTTATCGTATTATTTCCTATCTAGTATTTACAAGATCATTCTAATGATTATTTTTTTTCTTCATATTTTTCTTGTTACACTTCTGTAAAACTTTTGCATTAAAGTATTGATATTTTTGTTTTTGTTTGGCACTGGTTCTAAAATTGATCATTTCAGTGAGTATTGAGAGATAACGGACTACAGAAATGATCGACAATAAGATCTTGTCAAATTTCTTTTTTCAAAAAGAAAATTCAATTGTTTATAATATATCAAGATAATCATTTGGAGATGGAATATTTTCTGCCAGTCCTTTACGTCTTCGAATACTCTTAACAACTTGTCGAATTCTAGTTGATTCATCGAGTGGATCTTCATCTGAAATGTGCCAATGATGAAATACACATCGGGCAACTGCTTGACCATCAGCACTCGAACAAAGATCACTAGTAAAGCCTACAAAAACCAAATAATTATGCATGAGAAAAAGATACAAATGATTCTTATACCAAGAGACTCGCTGACCGGTAGGTAAGCTTTAGCGACGTATGTTGATGTTCCAAATATTTGACGTTCTTCAGAAATATAACCCCGACGACGGTTTAGCACACTATAAATATGACCAGCGATCACTTGTGGATACTAAAGCAACTATTACAGCTTGAAAGAGATAAGGATTTCAACGTATTGAAAACATACCTGAATTTCATATAAATAAATTGCTTCGACAAGTCTTGGACTAGCAGTAAGCATCGATCCATAAAGAACACGACACATCGTTGGAATAATTTGTCCAGCACTACGATATATCGCATCACTAATATATACAACATCATGAATATGGAAACGAACACCTCGAACATTATCTTGAACGAGTACACCTTCTTTTGTAGCCCATTGAAATGCACTAACGCAATAATCTTTTATTTCATTGAGATATTGTATTCCTATAGTAGAATCGATTAAAAAGTTCGGTCCAGTTTGCTCTGGTCCAAAACACCAAATTTTACGTGCTTCATATATATCATAATCATATTTTTCATACAAATAACGTGCACGTGCTTTTATTTCTTGATTTGATGTTATTTGACCATTTTCAATATCTTCTGGTAAACCTAAAGTATTTATTGACTAAGAATTTTCTCGAAATCTAATGATAACATATGCATATATTCTTACCATTAGGCATAGGCTGAGCTTTTAAATAGATTCGATTGTGTTTATTTGGAGATTTCGCTAGACACATTCTGTCGGATTCTTTCGATACAGTTTCACGATATGATGTCGCATGATCAGAAACTCTAATCGGAATACAAGCATATTTTTTTTCCAAATCTCTTAAGCAATTTTCCAAATGTAGTTCATCAACACAGGCTGTAATATGTTCACCGGACTGTTCAGTATAACACTAAAACAATTCAATACAGAATTCTGTTTGGAAAAGATAAATGTTTTTACTTGAACAAGAGGATCTACTTGAACTAAACGTTTCATACCTTCCACTAATTTTGGTAGATCAGCTGGATTAGTTGGCTCCACAGCAACATATACGATAGGATTTATGTTATTTTTCAACATCTAAAATATTTCAACAAATGAAACTTTTTCACTAAAATCAGCAACTCGACTACTAACACAAATGCTTTGTGCATGCTCAGATGTTGTAATTGTACCAGGTCTAACTAAATATTGATGAATACCGATGAGACCACAGATATTGCCACATGATAAATCGTCAATTGGTTGAATATATCGACCCATCATTATAACTGTTCTAAATAAAGATCCTATAATTCTCATGAAAAACCCTTTTATAATCAACTATCCATGTTGGGTGAATAGTTCATATCTTATACCGTTGAATATTTTTAATATAGAGATCTACTCTTTTGCCTGGTACATAATTAGGACCCAATATACGAACATGTTCATTTAACTTAACAACACCCGAAAAAACACGACCAAATGCATAGTAATGAGATTTATTCAATGTTGGTATTATTTTAGAAATGTAAATCATTAATGGACCGTTTGGATCACATGATTGAATACTCAAAAATACATCATCGTTATGCGGACCTAAACATTCATTCATTTTGTTTCTGGCCTCTCTTAAAAGATTATTAAATTTTTCTTAAATATACCCGCATAAAGAAGTTCAGCCCGATACTTTTGTGCAACAACTGGTGATGGTAAATGAATAACCATCGTTGTAAGAAGAATGTCATCAACAGGTAACCATTTTTTCATAATAAGTTTTAGTAGTAATATACCATCTTTACTCAATTCATCTTGTACTTCTATATTGAGTTCTTCAAGTAATTTTGTAAATTCATCTTTTCTTGAATCCATTATAGCTTTGAACAATTGGCTAATAGGATTAAGAACAAATTGACAAAAACCTCGAATAGAACCTAATTTTTCATTAGGAATGAATTTATTTCCCTATGGTGTTGAAAATATGTAATTTACCTTTTTCTGGAATTGTTGACCATTTCTTTGTCATCAGTGAGAAGAAATGATCACCCCACAATAGTTTCATTAATTTATCCTTTTCAATGTCATATTTTGATGCATAAATATCGGCGAATTGTTTTATCGTAAAAGCCCAACCATGAAGAGTAGAACCGAAAATAACTGCGTTTTTGGTTGGATCGATCTGAACGAAACAATGACCATCTAAATGCGTTATTAAGAAATTCATAATCAATATAGTTTGCATTAAAATAATAAAATTAAGTTTCTTACTATAAAATCATTTATATGGTTATTGTCATTACCATAAGTAGTGATGATGGTATTGATATTTTCGAGAATATGTTGAAATTGTTGAAAAAGATCTTCTGGTTCATATTTTAAATCGAGCAAAGCACGATCCATGTTATTAAAAAATAAAATTGGTTTTATACGCTGACGAATAGCTTGGCGAAGAATTGTTTCAGTCGCTAAGCAGACACCTAAGAATCAAAAACTAGTATTTTTAATAAAACAAAATGTAAGTATTGCTTTTTACCTGAAATACAATCGATAACGATGAGAATACCATCGGCAAGTGACAAACAAAGAGCGGATATTGATGAAGTATTATTATGAATCATTGAATCAATAAGATTAATTAAAAATTGAGATGAATCGAGTTCAGGTTCGTAATTAACGAATTTTAAATATTTAGCGGGTAATTCATAACAAACTGAAACAACTCTAAATAGGAAATTTTTCCATGAAAAATAAAATATTAAAAAGTTTGGTATTTTCAAATTACGCTGGTTTAATTAGAGTAGGCTGTTCGAGTTCATTTGTTTCGCTATCAGTCAAATGCATTTCATCAGTTTTCTGCGAAATAATAATACCAGCTTTGTTCATAAGCAAATCAATTAATGTTGATTCTTCATCATTCGTCTGAGCGAGGATGGTTATATTTCGAATATTTCTTGTTTTGTTCATCATACGATGAACGTCCTCACTCGTCAAGTTCACCTATGAATAAAACTAATTATTAGCGTTTTTCTTTTTGCTTAATAACTTTACCATTTGGAAATTTTATTGATTTTTCAACAGAAAATATGAGTATCTAGAGCTGAATATGCTATAATTAATAAATCTGAAAGACAAAAAAAAATGATGAACAAAAGGAAGTGATGTTAGTACACTCATCATAACTAATCTTTTTTTTCGATTACATGGAAGATTCTGTTTTCTGAAAATTTTTTTTGAAAAGATTCGAAATCCTAGCTATCTAGCATTAGCTTTTCTTTGAATAATATGTTTCCCACATGATTCCTTCATACGTATGAAAAATAAAAAAATAAAATAATTTTTTAAAACTTTTTGTTTCTACGTTTCACATTATTCTAATAAAACTACTCACCACAACCACATTAGTGAGAACCTTTATTATATCTAAACATTTTTTTTTTTGAATGGTTGCCAATGGTGTTCTGTATTGTGCATGCAGCACGTGATTATTTGTTTAGTTTTTTGAATGAGTCATATTTTCCTTGGCAAGCAAGTAATTTTGTAATAACTTGTGCTTTCATTTTCTTCAATTTCTTTACACAACATACGATACAAAACATCCACTAAAGTGATCGTATTCCGTCAATTGCTTTTGCAATCAACATTCACGTTATCTGATACGTGTCGCTAATGTCCAAGAAGTCATTCTACAATGTTAATTTTGATTATGAAGTCAATAACCCACACCCTTAACAAAATAATTCTTTATTAAAATTCAACATATAGTTCCATATTTGGTATTTATTCTGTTGTAATCATGAAAATTTATCCTTTTATGTTAGGCTTTTGAATCTATTTTGTTATAATTTAAGAAATGAATCTTGATTATTAGTATAAAAAGTGGAACAATGTATAGGACGTAGGTGTAGATTGATAAATTAGAAAAATTCCGACACACCTACTCATGACAATTAGATCGAAGCAACACGAAAAAGAGACATGATTTACAAGGAGTTTCGACATGTATATTTTTCATAGAAAACTATAGATCAGAAATAATCTTCAGAATTGTCAGGTATAAAAATAAGTTTGTCAAAGAATCGGTTTTTAATAATAGCAAAAACATTCTAAAATTGTAAAATAATAGTAAAAACCAAATCAAAACATGTTCGAACAGTAAAAAATTCTTGTTCCCAGGTGATTTGATCCGACGACGGAACCTATAGGATCCGATCGGATCCGACCAACTGACAAAATCCGATCGGATTCGGGGCAACGAATCCATTGACGGATCCGACGCGTGGGTTCCTATGAAAATCCGATGATATCCTACAAACGGAGAAGACAACCTTTCCGACTGTTGGATTCCGATAAAAATCCGATGATATCCTACTACCGCAACCGTCAACTATTCCGACTATCGGATTT